AGATGATATGTCTTGAGCTCTGTAATGTTTTGAACAATCAATAAAAAAAAAAATAAAATAAAATAAAGGTAATTTAAAGAAAATGTAGTCAGATGTTTCTTGCTTTTCTCATTTTAATTTAGAACCACAGATTATATTATATAACCAAATTATATTTTTCACTTTACATATTTTAAGTTCATCATAGAGAACATTTGTAATTATATTTGAATTTTAACTGATTTAACACATTAATATCTCTTAGAAAATAATAATGTTCAGAAAATACATTTTCTATTGTAAACAAGATCACCAAACATTTCCAAACACCTGCATAGTCTGAAATGTAACTACATCTGATAGATTATCTAAGAATATCAAAGTGTATCTAAGAATATCTCAGGAATAAAGAAAAAACAACTAATTGGATAGAGCATATTTAAATTATTATAATGCCAGTATATAGCCACAAACATCTACCAAGCTGAAATTTGTGCATAGAAATATGGTAATACTTATGTTTTACATGAGATATAGTTTGGATTCTTATGTTTAAAGGATATTAAAATTATTATCTATTCATCTGTAGCCTGTGAACTCATTTTATAAGACCAAGAATCAACAAGTGGGAAAACATCTAATTAAAAAGGCTATGCATATCACAGGAAACAGTTGGATGCAGGCCAAGAGAGACTTCAGGATGAAGAAGATCTTTGCCATCTACTCCTTGGGAATTAATACTCAGAATAGATAAAGAACTCAAAAAACTTAATACACACACAAAAATACACACACACACACAAACAATTAACAAATGGCAAAAGAACTAAACAGACACTTCTCGAAGAAATACAAATAGCTAATAAATATATAAAAATATGTTCAACATCTCTAGAAGTTAGAGAAATGTAAATCAAAACTACATTGAGATTTCATCTCACTGCACTTGGAATGGCAATTATCAAAAATATAAATAATAACCACATTAGATACAATGACAAAAAATGGGATCCTGATTATAATAAGTTATACACCATGTATGTATATCAAAATATACTTTACTGTCATCTATAGATAAAAGAAAAATAAAGAAAGAATACAACTAATAAATGCTGGCAAGGATATGGGAGAAAAGGTATACTCATACATTATTGGTGTGAGAGCAAATTAATACAAACACTCTGGAAAGCAATATGAAGATTCCTCAGAAAACTAAGAATGGAACAACCATATGACATAGCTATCACACTCCTCATCATGTACCCAAAGGACTTTAAATCAGTTTACTAGAGTGACACAGCCACATCAATGTTCATAGAAGCTTAATTCACAATAGCTAATCTATGGAATCAACCTAGGTGTCCTTCAATAGGCGAATGGATAAAGAAAATGTGGATCATATACACAGGGGAATATTACTAAGCCATATAGAAGAATGAATTTGTGGCATTTGCCAGTAAATGGATGGATCTGGAGACTATCATGCCAAGGGAAATAAGTCAGTCCCCAAAAGTCGAAGGTTGAATGTTTTCTCTGACACCTGGAAACTAATCCAAAATAAAGGGGGATTAAAAATACAAGAAAGAAGAAAGAGCAGTGGAGTGAAGGGAAATGAAGGGAATGGAGGAAGGGAGGAAGGATGGGATTGTGAAAGACAGTGTTATGAATCTGACTAACTTTTATATGTACATATATGAATATACCACAGTGAATTTTACTTTTGTGAATATCCATAATTCTCCAATTAAAAAATAAATAAAATAAGAAAGATCAGTAGAATAGAGAAAAGGGGACAAGGGAAGGGGGAGGAGAAAAAGCAGATATTCTGGGGACTGAATTGGAGCAAATTTTATTCCATGCTTGTATAATTATGTCAAAATGAACCCTAATATTATATATAACTATAATTAACTACTTAAATATTTGACAAAAATGAAACAATAAAAGGAAATATTTCAGTGGGCTCCAGTCTTAGCCTGAAAGACAAATTTATTATTCCACAATTTCTATATAATATCAAATTTTATTATCAGTGTACTTTGGGCAATCTTGCACATAGAAAATTTTCAATAAACACAGTTGTTAGCAAACAAAAAAGTACTGAAGACCATTTCCTGCTAGCAGTTTGAGAGACCAGTTTTGCTTCGTGCCTTTGCCACTGCATGAGTAAAATAGAATGGATAGTCCAAATTTCTATACTCTACAGTATGCCAGAACTGACTTTTAAAGACCATGTGAAACAATGTCATAACATTAAATTGATTCAGTTAATTTATTTGACAAAGTCTGTAGAAAAATAAAAACAAAGGCTTGATGGAACTGACCAGTTTTACTAAAAGAGTTGATTTGAAACTAAAAATGTACAGTTTGATAATTCATATTGGATTCAGTTGAAATGGACATTGCTATCAGGAAATATAGATTGTATATACTTTTATACATATGCATATTAAACTCTAATGCAAAATGCAAATTATCATTTTAGAGTGTATTTCACTATCACTCCACTTCACGAAGTGAAGAAGGAGGTGGGCTATGTGAAGCAGACTTTATCACTACTTTGTCAGTTTTATAAATTTTTTTCATAATAACAAAGTAGGCATTTTATAATTTCATGAGCTACAACTCATTTTTTAAATTATGATGATATTATTCAAAACAGATGTGAAAACATATGTTTTCCACAGTTGCATGAACTGCTTACTTGTCATACTTAATAAATGTTGAAACTTCTACTTTAATTTGTTCCCTTTAAACATCTAAAATCTATTTTACTAAAATATATTTTGTCTAACTAAACCAAATATAACCGATAGAACTTGATTATAGAAAGTCTAATTTAAAAGTAAATTTTCCAGGCTAGGGCTGTAGCTGGGTGGCAGAGCACTTCCTTAGCATGTGTGAGACACTGGGTTGGATCCTTAGCACAACATAAAAATAAAAATAAAGGAATATAAAGGAATGCTGTCCATCTACAACTACAGAAAATTTTTGAAAAATAAAGTTTTCACCATAACTGGGGTGCAGTTTAATACACCACTCCTGTTTATTAATATCCTCATCAAGATGTGTGACCAACCTATTTGATTGTATAAAGCTGCACCATTCTATAGCAAGAGATTCAGAAATGCCAATAAATACCACTGTGTATTTTATGAAAATCAGTAATCATACATCTGTACCAAGGCTTCAGCTGATTTTTCATAAGACACAACAGTGTATACTTGAGCTCTGCAGCATATAACCAGTCCTAAATGCCATTTTGACTTATGGAGTTTACAGTTCCAATGGAATCATATGTGTCATGTACAGCTTGAGATTTTCCTTGGAAAAGTGCTTTACTACAAAGCTGCCCTTCAAATAGTCATGGTATGGTAGAAAAGGGCTCTCCAGAACAAATTGTTGCTGGGTTATGAATGAAGCTTCATCTTTAACTAGAATTTCATTACCTGTATAAGAATTTGGGTAGTTTAATATACTGAACCTGACTTTTTCTATTCTGACAACTATTCTGAAATAAATCATTTGCATTTTGGAGCCCCAGAGGGTATAGCATTTCAGTGTCTGGCTAAAAAAAGACAAAACATGTGGCAAGGAAACCAACCATGGATCAATGAAATTAAAATCATACACTATTCCAAATTCTGACTAAAATGCTCATCTAGGTAATTATAAAGCAAGTTTAGCCTAAAGAAGAAAGAAAAAAATTTCCCTTAACTGTTCAGCTCATGGAATATTTTCTACATATTATAAGCATCTTTAGTGGAGATTCCCTAACTGTACTAAAATTGTCAGACCATCTACAAATCTGATAAGTTACATGTTAGCTATAGTATAACTAATGACGACAGCAATAATGATGGTCGATAACATGATTATTTATTTTCCTTTTCTCCTATCTTTGTAACCTTTTAAACAAAGTTGTGCTCAGTTTTCATTTCAGAAGAGCATCCCTTTGAAATTCTTACTCTCCTTACCGTCTTTAAACAGATATCCTAAGACAAAACTGGGTACTGCACAGAGATAACACCTGCACCTTGGCAGATTAAAAGCCATGTTGAGGTCATATTTATCTGTATTCCGGATAAATACTTGGTAGATTAATCTTATAAGCTTTTGTTATGGTTTATGTGTGAGATAATACAAGAAAGCTTAGTGGTGAAATTATTGGGTTATGAGAACTTTAACTTAATCAGTGCATTGATTCACTGACAAGGGTTATCTATGTGGCAATAGTAGGCAGGTAGGCAGATAGAGTGTGGCTGAGTGGAGGTGAGTCACTGGAGGCATGCCTTTGGAGTTTATATTTGTCACAGTGAGGAGAGAACTATCTCTCTCTCTCTCTCTCTCTCTCTCTCTCTCTCTCTCTCCCTTTCCTCCCTTTCTTCTTGAAGAGATGTCCCCAGCCCCCAGTTGCTTTCCTCCTCTACATCCTTCTGGCATGAAGTTGTGCCTCCCCTTCAGCCCAGAGAAATGGAGTCAGCTATCTGAAAATGTGAGTCCCTAAATAAACTTTTCCTTCTTTAAAATTTCTCTAGTTAGGCCTTTAAGACACAGCAACAAAAATATTTATTAAAACAGCTTCCATTTGAAATGATCAAGTTAGATTGCTTTTGAGGGTTGAGGAAAGCAGCTTTACCCCATTATACCAACTCAGTTTTTGTAAATATAACAACAAATGGTGAATTATTTAGATAATAAAAATATATATGTGTGTGTATATATGTTTATGTACATACATACACAAAGAGAGGCATCACATGTCTATGAGTAGTTATAATGAAAGTGTTTAGGGTGAGATTTTTGACCACATGCACATAAATTTTTCAGGTAGATAGGTAAATTATAATATTAATAAAAAACTTCAGGAAAATACATTTTTTACTATTAAAACAATTTACCCAAAGCCATATATATTTATTCTGAATTAGGAAACATGGATACAATATACAAAACTGATACATTAATTGAGTTAGTATCTGATATTTATATGTACATCAAATAAGCAAAAATCATTTTACCTTTATTATCCCTTTGGAATTTTTTGATGGTTGGTCCATTATCATGATCAACAATAAGTTCCTCTCTATTGTTGGGCATCATAACTATAAATAAGAGATGTAACTGAGTAATTCTTGATGCAAAATACCAAGAAAGGCAGAAGAGCTTCACATAAATGGATAATATTCTCTAATAACATGATTTTTATATACTTGTAGCTCTGTAACAGTATAACTTTTTTATTAGTCTTATGTTCATATAATTTAAAAATTAATAAGATACTTAACCATTTCAATTTTATAGTAAAATTAATATATAGCACTTATATAATTGCCAACATATTATTTGGAGCATTTAAAATAGCTTATCTTTTAAAATCTATATGCAATCTATTTAATTCCATCATTAATAACATATTTCCCAAAATGTTTCTGGAAATAATCCATCCTTTAATATATCATATAAATAATTGTTAAAAGTAATTTTACTTTTAATTTATTGTGGAAACTTTTTTTCAAATATCACAAATTGAAAAACTAATAGATAAAATATAACTTTCTGGTAACTATTGCAATTCTTCACAGTATATCTATATTGAAAGAGAAAAATCATGCTAATTTTCTGAGTTTGTCCTTTCAACTGTGTATTTATATTTTATTAAAATTTTATATATAAGATATGGTCACTTTAAAGCCAAGAAAGACCAAAACATTGTATTCATTTATAAATCACCTTTTTATCATGCTTGAACAACAACAGAATGTACATATAGAGTTTAATTACCGTCATATGAATTACAAATGTACTATGTTTTCAAGATTTTTTGTAATATATTATGATTTTTTGGAAATATTTGATTTTACTTCTAAACATGAGCTAACTATTCTATTCACTAAGTATATATCTTTATGTGCTCTGCTTTTAGCCAGCACTCAATAAACAATACTATATATCTACATCTATAATAATAATACTATATATAATATATATAATAATATATATAATATATATAATACTATATATCTACATCTATATCTACATCTATATCTCCATCTCTCTTTATATATATATATATATATATATGTGTGTGTGTGTGTGTGTGTGTGTGTGTGTGTGTGTGTGTATGTGTATCCCTTCCCCCCCTTTTTTTCACTCTCCTGCACCTTCAACAATAAAAGGATTATCCCAACAGCATAGTGTGAAATTTAGTTTCTTGGTTCATTAGTAGTAATTCAGCTGTAGCCTCTTGTCTTACCTAGACCCCCTTGAATCAGTCATATATAAAATTGTAAAAACCAGGTAGTTTTTATTCATAGAACAGAGTAAAGCTAAAAACCTTGTTCACCTCTTTTAGGAATTAAACTTTCACCTTAGGGCCATAATCCTCAAGCTCTACGTCACTGTTTCTTAAATCTGTATGCATTTTAGAATCCCCTGAGGAGATAATAAAAAGCAAATCAAAACACTGCTACCCCAGCTATATTCGAGACCAGGTGAATCAAACCCAGGCTGTTTGGCCTGAACATCCATAGTTGTAAAAAAATGTACTAGTGATTATAATATAGAGCCAGATTTAAGAATCAAAAAATGCATTATGAAGCTAGAAATCTACAAAAAATGTATAATTTTGGCAGCCTAAGTGAGACTTGGGTTAATTTCCACAAGGGAGAAATTGCCTTCATCCTTCTCCAGAACAAAAGCAGAACTGAATACCTTCTGAAATCCTGTAAATTTATCTCCTCCCATTAAAACACACACACACACACACACACACACACACACACACACACACACACTATTTTGGAAAGCCTGGAATCAGTCACTATTATGAGATTTGCATACATAAAATACACCTAACATACCCATACTAAGACTAAAAGAAAATGTGATTTCCTTAAATAAAACAGACATATAGAAAATTGATTTGTATACATATAGAAAATTAATGAAGAGTTTACCTACATCAGTTAATTCATAATTACTGTATATTAAATGAGAATTAGTTACAGCTGAATGTACCCAGTAATTTCTGTATACATGAGTGATATCTAATAGTAGGAGATGGTAAACAGTCAAGGTAAAGTCACATGTAGAAAAATAATATTTATAACCTCATATTTCCTTAGCTTTTTAAACTTCTGAAATGTTTTACACATATTATCCCATAAAACCTCCAAAAATTCAGTGTAGTCATCAGGAGGATAATTGTTTCCATATCATAAAGAAACTCATGGTGACTATACATCATACCCAGGATATTATATCTACTGTTACACCTATGGCTATATTCAAGTGTCTGATACACCATTGTACTACAATTTTCTAGAATATTGTCTATGGTGTAAGATTTCTGAAAAAATAAAAAAAATGTAGAGAAAAGCATGTTCAATATTTGTGATCCAAATTTTTAAGACTGTGGTCTATTATATATTGCATTACTTTTTAATCACTCTTAAAAGATGAGCTGCCAAAAGAATATTTTACCTTCCATTATCCCAAATAATGCTATGAATAATGCAATGCTAATGTATTATAATGCAATAGCTCTTACCTAACAATATAACATTGAGCTAACAAATATTCTACCAATAATCCTATGATATTGTTCTCATGAGATTGTATGATACAATAAAGAAATATCTTTGCACAGAACAAATTTCTGACACTTTAAGTTTCATTTTATTGGTCATGTTGTTTCAGCAATAAAAAGTGACCACTTCAAAAAGTCATGTATGTTAAGGAAGTGTCAGCTTCTTCAGCTTCTTTCTCCCCTATCCATTGCCTAATGAGGAATTTACTGAACAAATATTTTCCAATACTTATTTCAACAAAAATACCTACCCATTCTCTCTGACTGATGATCCATCTGAGAGGGAGAGCTGGACACACTGCTACTGGGGTGGGAAGAGGTCTGGCTCCCAGGGCGATGGCTCTCTTCCAGGGAGGGAGCAGGAGAAGGGCTCTCTGGGATCCGCTCCTGACACACACACACACACACACAAAAAAAAAAAAAAAAAAAAAGGAAATGCCATGTGTATGCCAAGTTTTTCAAGATGGTTGAGTCTATAAGATTTGAAATGTTGACCTCTTATCCTGAAAGTGTGTGGACATATCCACAGTAATTGGTCTTAAATATAAATCTTTAGACAAAAACATATTTCCATTATTGTGTGTTTATTGGGATATTGTAAGAGTTAAGTAACCGAAAGCAAAAGAGTTCAAAGACATTCTGGGTACATGTAGGAGACTCAAGAAAAGTTAATTTTCATTTCCTTTTCTAGAACAATAATAAATAATTGTAAACTTAGGTATGTAATGAAAGTTATTATTGTAAGTTTCTTGAAAGATGTAAAATTCATAACAAGGCCTGGAGAATGATACTACTATCTGACTAAAAAGAAGATCTACATGATGTAAAGAGCTGTAAAGCCCTGGGAAAAACTCATAAATAGTGACAACTTAGTACATTCTTAATTTTTCTGCACAAAAATCATGGCTATGATATACATTTTTTTTTCTGTTAGACCTCAGGAACTGGTGCTGAATTATATTAATTGTTTTTATAGTCACAGAACACAATGATGGGTTTTTTTCAAACAGATCCTGTCAGCTCCTTAGTATCACTTAGATTTGTATAGTTTTAAATAATTAATTTGAATTAAAAGCAAATATTTTTATACATTTCTATCTGCTATGGCTTTCAAGACTTTTGAGATTATAAACATTGTTATAAAACACTGATGTTATTTGCCATATTTATGCATGAGAAATTATTGAATAATACTGCATCATTTCAGTTAATTTGATCAATAAAATAATCAAATTGCAATGTTTGTACACATATGTAATAAGAATGAATGATAGACATACTGGGGCAGGGAATATTTATTCTATAAAATATTTAATTCATTGATAATACATTTCTTAAATTAAATATTCTAATTATCTATAATTACAACATCAGTATTCAAATCATCATAGCATCAAGAATTAGTTTATTTAATTAGTTTATTGAAAATGTACATGTTCATTTTCATATTGATTTTGCATGAGGCCCAAAATTTATAAACCCTCTAAAGAAAAACAGTGATTGTTTAATGCAAATATAATGACATGAGAATTGAAAGTTATTATTTCATTAGCTGTTGTGAACATTTTGCAATGTTTGTCATTTCAACAGGCAGAATGATGCCACCCTTTCTCTGAAGATGTCTATTCCACATCTTAATTGTCAAAACCTGTGAATATACTACATTATATGCCCAAAAGGACTGTTGGAGTGGTCATTCAGAATATTGATAGAGAGAGATCATATTGGATATTGGGAAATTATCTTGATGCTCCCAATATGATCAAAAGCTTCTTAAAAGTAGAAAAGAGACAGAAGAGGAGGATCATAATGATGCAACTTTGCTGTCTTTGATGTTAGAAGAAAAGGGCTTTGATCCAATAAATATGAGTGACCTATAGAAAATGGAAAAGGCAAGAAACCTACAGAAAGGATGTAACTTTATCAGGACTTTGCTTTTAACCTTGAGAGACCCATTTGTGATTTCTGATCTACAGAACTGTAAGATAATAAATTTGTATTATTTTAAGCCACTGAATTTGTGTTAATTTGTTCTAGCAGTATTAGAACACTAATACAGCCATCAATATATTATGTTCATTATTATATGGTGTATTACATTATTGCCTAGCATTTAGTTAATATTCAATAACTTTTGTGAAATGAACTGTAGACTTTTCATATAGTAGTTTCAGTTTTATGCACTAATTAAATAGCAATAATTGTAAATATACAGTATAAAGACTTCATAGTTATTGTCATGCCTTAAAAACAATATTTTAAGCAGAGAAATGTGCTGATGCAACTCATTTATATTTAGTATACAGGAAAACATCTGGTTATAATGTATATGAGGAACAATCAAAAGCAATATATAAATTAGACAGAAGAAAATGATCAAGTTCATTCCACAATAATTCTACTCATTTTTGGAGGGATAATATGGGATGGACAGGAATATCTATACATCCCTCACACCCCACAACCTTTCATTTTTTTAAGAGAATAGAAGTTCATTAGTTCTGAAAGCCAAACCAAACTCTCATGGTTAAAAACATATTCTTCAGATAGTATGTACATATACACATTCACACCCACAATAAAAAAATTCATATGTGAAGCCCTTTTTTTCTTTCACTGTTTTATAGTCACATTCATTCATACCAAAATATGTGCATAAAGTGAAAAGCATTCAGTAATTGTCTTTGAATTCTAACACTGACAATTTTCATATATATATATATACACACACATATATATATGTATATAATTCAATGGATCTCTCAATGGATAAGGGAAAATTACAGAAGTTACTGTACAAAAATACAATTAAAGAAACAAAACACTGTACAATATCCAAAGGGAATCACACATGCAGCATTATATGCCTCCATAATAAAAATGGAAAATTTTTTCAGTGATTCATACAATAGAGAGTTTGTAAAAATAAGAGGATACAAATGACAATTATACTTTGTCTTGTCCACTCTGCCTAATAAAAAGTGAAAGCTTATTCTTAGTAAAGAAAGACTGGAAGAACATCAACACAAATAGAAAATTATATACATAACAAGACAAATATAATGCTATAATAAGGTATTTCCCCAACATGTTTAAAATTAGCATGTGATTGAGAAATATAAGCTTGAATCAATTATCTTCAAATTCCCTTTTTGCCATTTTCAACAATACATTATATAAATATAAACTAACTTTGAAAACATGATTTGGAGAGTCAATATTAAGAGTGACAGTAACATTTTACATGAAACAATGTTTTGCTTTAAGGTTTTGTACCCTGCCCTTTCTAAATTTAATCTGGGTTTAGGTTTTTGTTATTATTTTCCTAAGGCAGCCTAGAGGTCAGACTTTTTTTTTGCCATGTAAATGATGTTAAAGAAGTCCAGTATCTTATATTGATTTAGAATTAGTTGTGCCAAAAAAAAATCTGTGCAGAACTGGAATGTTTAATTGCTTCTCAAATAATGATAGTTCTATGAACAATGTCTACTTTGCAAGTAAACATTCATTTTTCAGCCCGATAATCAGTATGCATCTATTTAGCTACTTAACTGCAATGTGTTTTGGTTCATTAGGTGGTTACTGTTGTGTCTCAGCCTAGTTAAAATTTCACAGCAAGTTAATCTGTTTTATTACAAATGAGAACACAAGTAATAATGTCCTCACCATTTGCCAAATACAGGGTTAGCAGTATTTGCAACAAATCAATAAGGACATTTAAAAAGGGAAATGGCAAATCTAAAACCCCAATCATTTTTAACTCATTGATGACTTCATTTTATGTGGCATTTATGACTTTTACAACGCACTTACTCTTCATGCATTTCATTTGTGACCCATCAAAAACAGCTGTAGCTCCTCTAAAACACCACAGCAATCTCCAGATTCAAAGAAGCAAAGAAGGAAGATTTCCAAAATTGATAATTCTAAAACAACCAAATTACTATTTACTCCTGCAATTAGTAAAATAATCTTAAATAACAACTCAGATTCTAACATGTATTGTATACTTCAAGAATTTTTATTAATTAGAACATACATTAATCTCCTATATCATACAATTTTCTTTGTCTTGAGATATCACAAATAGTAGAAGGAGATGTTAATCATATTAAATCATTTGAAAGCATATACTCTTTCTTCATAAAGAGCAGGAACAATTCTTCGAAAATGCAGGTTTATCACACTCAATTTGGTTTAAGATTCAGTTTATTGCCAATAAAGTATCAACTTACCGTTTTCATAGAGATCATTTATTTCATGTAAATATATCCCTTTTCCTCTTTGGAAATATGATGGCATACCCCGAGTTTATGAAGCATCAATATATGTGTATTAAACATCTCTATCATGTGTGTTATATGTACATGCACATGTGTTTCACTCTTTTAATGTTGACTTGTTGCCTCTGGCACTTTACTTTATTGATCCTTATCAAGTATTCAGTGGGATTATATAATACATAATTGGTCTTTTTAATTTTATTTAACTTGAATTCAACTCTCCCTGTAATTACTGTTCTAAATGTTAATCGATTAATGAGTTCCTAAAAGATTGAATGGCATTTCATTGCTTAGCAGTGGCTTTTGGAATTTTATATGAATTCTAGTTATTTTATTCCTGTATTTGTCTTGATATTTCATATTCAATTGATGTGCTCCTTCTGTACTATCACAAGAGTTCTGCAGAAGGAGAGCAGATTGTAAGTTGACAGGCTTTAAATAATAAAATAAGGGATGGAGAAAGAAAAAATTTTGCATTGTTACTATTAATTTGCTTTACCCCTAATTCTAGAGAAAAATTTGATGTCCAAAGTTGTTATTTTTGAATATGATTAAAAGCATGACACTTTGTGTGACATTATGAACCAATTTAAGAATTACTCTGTTTTCCACAATCACCAATTATAGCAGTTTCTAAGAACTCAGGTGGGAAAAACTGGCTATCTATCTATCTATCTATCTATCTATCTATCTATCTATCTATCTATATTAGTTCATTAAACAGTGAATCTACAATATTTCCTCTCCAAAAGTAATTAAATAACTTACCACTCAGAAAACATAACTCTGGATATTGGGAGGTTTCATTCTACAGTGATTTTGAAGACAAAATTTAATCTTGGATTTAAAAAGGTAACATAATACTGTGCATAAGAAATGATGCCGGTTTGTAGTTGCACCTGAAACACATAACCATAAAAAATCTAAACTCATAGGTACACCCTATTTGTGACCTATGTGATGTTTGGAAAAAAGACCCTCTCGCCTCTTCAGTGTGATTAGCTTGTTGAGGAAGAAGCTGAGAGATGAAGGGAATCATCCGTAATATCTGCTCATAATCATAGCAAGTGAATGGTCTGAAGTGGGAGAATCGATATTCAAGGA